TTTTTACTTTTTAATCACCTTTTAATTTTTTATTTACTTATTTCTTTTTTTTTAAATGTATTTAATTATTTTTTTAATATTTTTTTTTTCCCCACCTAACTTTATTGCTATCACACAAGAGCTAACAAGCCCCTGTGTGATAGCAATTGGAAGTGACAGGTTCTCTTTACTGAACCTGTCACCTGCCATACAGGAGTTCTAGCACATCACTGTGACAGGTGAGAGGGGAAGACTGCTCTCCCCTCTCACTGTTTACACGGAGCGGCAGGGGTAGATTTAACTCTGCCGCTCTACTCCCTGCATCGGCAGCAGGGACTCGGGACAGGAGAGAGACTCGGCGGCAGGGGGAGGACGGAGCCCGGAGCCAGCATGGAGAGAGGTAGGTGAGGGGGGGGCAGGGGGAGGAGGCTGCAGACATCGCCGAGATCACTTGTAAACGTACAATCGGCTTACCCGCTCTACATTTAGTCCTGCTTGTGCAAACCAGGACTAAATGTAGAAAGCAACTTACCGCCCGGAACTACATGTTCCGGCCGTCGGGGGATTCCACACCGCTGCCGCCCCTCTGCGCCCTGCCGCCCTCGGTGGCCTTGTGGGGAATCCGGCCTTGCCTGTGCTTCCTTACTTCCTGTCCCAGTGACACCATAGGTACTGCTGTGAGCTGAAATTAAGATTATTGATAACCTGAAAACCTCGATCTTTTAAACATTCCGAAGTACAAGGGGGGATTACAAATCCTCTTAAAACAGATTACTGAGGGATTGTCTGCGGCGCTGGAAAAAAGACCGACAGATAAAAGGCATCAAGAGGAGCTGCCCTTCATCCCGGCGCTCGGAGATTTACCAGCGGGCACAGAGGACAATTCTCCTTGCGAAGGGCAATGATATAACTGATACAAAGCAGAGGCGGATGTCCTCAGGGAGCCGCGGCGCAGGTGACCATCCTCCCTGCGTCCTGCAGTCACCTTCTCCGGGACGTGGAGACGACCGCCGAGCGTCGGGAATCTCTGCAGAAACGGCCAGAGGAACTGTTAGAATCATTCGTAATGATTTACGGTGATAGGTTTACCTGAGTCAGCCACACGTTGGTCGTCATTATCTGTTCCCGTTCATGCTGGAAAGGAAATAGAGTGCGGTCACGTATGACACACGGTTGTACATTCATTCACATCATTATGGGGGGCGCGTTGTCATTTTTTCTTTGGCGCTGGCTTCCTGGAGAAATAGCTACTGCAACGGGTCCTCTGCTTTCTAAATTGACCCATTCATGACCACAAGCCCAGGTGCCAAGGCTCAGTTGACTTGACATTCTCTATGAAGCAAGTCAGTTTGACAGCGGGGTCTGAGAAGCAAGTCTGGGCACAGGAGTGCATTGCTAGTTCTCGGCCGCAATGCTAATCAACGACTACGTGGTTGACTTCATTTGTTATCTAAATGTCCCCTAGCTGTCACTTAACCTATAGGTCATCTCCCCGCTTCCTACATCTCAAGTGACCTACTGAACCTTGGAGACCCACGGTATGCAAATTTGACGCTTGCTAAAGACAGCTCTGCCCTCTTTAATTTCTTTGAACCCTCTATGACTTCCTCCAAGTGATGGGCAGCCTCATTGCACAGTAGGGAGTTGTTGGAGGCTATAGGGAGCCAGAATGTCCTTGGCTTTGTTGGCCAAAGTCAAAATTTGCATATTATAGTTCAACTGAATCCCTCCACCGTCTACCAAAAGTCACTGTCTACCAAACATGGAATATTGATTCACAGTACTGAGTGTCCGGAGCTTGTAAAGAGCCAAGGAGACCCTGTTTCTTGGCTCAGATGGAGATGTAGACATGAAGGATGGAAACCAAGATAGATGGAGGAAACCAAGGTTGGCTTGCACCAATTTGCTGGAGAAGGCCAAAAAGCTTATCCAGTCTCCCATAGCCTTGGAGCTGCTCAGCTGGTGGGAAATATAGGACAGCCTTCCCATCATATGTTGGGGTGGGGCAAGACAACCTGCCCACTGCATGGTGGGGTGGTTGCCGATTCACAGTCCTGAGCATCAGGGAGCTCCTAAAGAGCCAAGGAGACCCTTTTGCTGGTTTGCAAAGGAGCTCATGAGGCTCATTGGCAATCCACAGGAGACATGTTGCCTTGGATGGAGGCATGATGGATGGAAATCAAGATAGATGGAGGAAACCAAGGTTGGCTGGAACCAATTTGTTCCTCTCTACCAGTATAGCACCAAAGACCCGAAGAAGGCCAAAAAGCTTATCCAGTCTTCCATAGCCTTGGAGCTGCTCAGCTGGTGGGAAATCTATGACAGCCTTCCCATCATATGTTGGGGTGGGGCAAGTTTAGAGGGGACATCCAACTAGATCTAAAAACTCCTCCATGTTCTAGCCAAAAAAAAATGTGGACACCCATGCCCTTTACTGTTTTTTTGCCCTAGTCCTTTCATACCCACTAAGCTGCGGTATACAAGCTTCCCAATGCTCCCCAAATACCACCCAACCTGTATACCCCATCTTGAGCATCCTACTCACCACGCTGATGAGTTGGGCCAGGGACACCATCAGCTGTACGGTGACTTGTTCCGAACCGTTCGTAGCTGGCCGGATGAGCTTGTTGTAGCGGCCTGGACTGAGCAGGTGCTCCACCAGACGTTCCTCGGTGTCTGTGCCTAGGCATCCTGTAACACACAAAGGTTGGAGTGTCAGCATTGCGACCAGTCATCTGAAACTCACCATCACTGGGAAGCGTTTTGAAGTCTGCTCAGAAGAGGTGCAGGCAGGTGGGGTACTGCGAACGTTCCATAGACACAGCTGGGTAACTGTGTAGTGCCAGGGGTAAATCAAGTCAACGTTTCTCGGCACAGCAAGAACGTCAAAGGTCATCCAATCTCAACCACACTGACATTAGTGCTCTGTTTATGGATTTCAGTCAAGGTGCTGAGGGTCAGCTGCTATCAGGGAAACCATAGGAGCTTGCACACCTTTAATTTCATAATTACCTGCAGGGTGCAATTAAAATGGAGCTCCTTTTTTTTAGGATATTATAGAGCAGCGGAACACAAAGGAGCTGATTTGAAATGGGCTCTCCCTGCATATGGTGGTGTTACTGCCACAAGATGGAAACTTCTATGCTCATCAGCTCCATCTAGTGGCAGTAATTATGTAGATCACAGGAATTTCCTATGATCATGAGCTCCATCTAGTGGCAGTAATGATGTAGAGCACAGGAATGTCCTATGCTCCTCAGTGCCATCTAGTGGCAGTAATGATGTACTACACAGGAATTTCCTATGCTCCTCAGTGCCATCTAGTGGCAGTAATGATGTACAGCACAGGAATTTCCTATGCTCCTCAGTGCCATCTAGTGGCAGTAATGATGTACAGCACATGCATTTCCTATGCTCCTCAGTGCCATCTAGTGGCAGTAATGATGTAGCGCACATGAATTCCCTATGCTCTGCTGTGCCATCTAGTGGCAGTAATGATGTACAGCACAGGAATTTCCTATGCTCTTCAGTGCCATCTAGTGGCAGTAATGATTTAGAGCACAGGAATTTCCTATGCTCTTCTGTGCCATCTAGTGGCAGTAATGATGTAGAGCACAGGAATTTCCTATGCTCCTCAGTGCCATCTAGTGGCAGTAATGATGTAGAGAACAGGAATTTCTATGCTCCTCAGTGCCATCTAGTGGCAGTAATGATGTAGAGCACAGGAATTTCCTATGCTCCTCAGTGCCATCTAGTGGCAGTAATGATGTAGAGCACAGGAATTTCTATGCTCCTCAGTGCCATCTAGTGGCAGTAATGATGTAGAGCACAGGAATTTCCTATGCTCCTCAGTGCCATCTAGTGGCAGTAATGATGTAGAGCACAGGAATTTCTATGCTCCTCAGTGCCATCTAGTGGCAGTAATGATGTAGAGCACAGGAATTTCCTATGCTCCTCAGTGCCATCTAGTGGCAGTAATGATGTAGAGCACAGGGATTTCCTATGCTCCTCAACTCCATCTAGTGGCAGTAATGATGTAGAGCACAGGAATTTCCTATGCTCCTAAGTGCCATCTAGTGGCAGTAACGGCGTGCGAACGGTGTCAGCCAGCTATACGCTGGACGAACCCGTTATACATCAGTCCTTAGATCCCGGGTCAGATTTATTATTGCAGCTGACCAGCCCTTAGAGGTGGTGGCTGCATTAATTTTCTACGTTCAGGCTTCTTTATTTTCACCTGGTGATCCCACCAGTTACACTCACTTTCAAAGAGGAAGCAATTTCAGTCCAGGAGAGGAGCCGGTACAACTGTGCAAGACTGAAGGGAAGGTCAGAGGTCAGCTTTAAATAAAATGGGAAGAGTGAACACCCGCCCTCCCACCCCCAGACATGA